CCCTTGTTTGAGAAATTCCGAAAACGAACTTAGGCCTTTAAAAATCGAATTTTGATGGTGGAAATTCCCGAAATTTCACGTTTTCTGAAAATTCGTGTGTTTTTCTCCTGATTTTTTCCGAAATTTTTTTTTGGCAGACTAATCCGAATCTGACCCTCAGCATTGCAACTTCCGGGTAGTTCACTAATTAACGGTGAACTCCCGGACTCAAAGATGATCTCAAGGGATACCTAATCTGGATACAATTCAAATTCGTTCATCATCATTATTGCAAATATTGTTTAGTGATTGTCATTAAGAATTATTATTTCGCTATTAATCTTTATTGATTAAATAAGTCGTTATTATTTTTCTTATTACGAATTTTCGAAGTTGTTTATGGGAAAATTTATTTTTTCTACTTGATTAGGTGTCTAAGTCCATCCTTGGGACAGGGACTGTATGTATATTGCTTGATCTGTTCTATCCCTGTGCCCACCCTCTCCCTCACACTGTTCTGCGATCCTTCGGACGAGCCAGCCTTCAGCAACAGTTCCTGATGCCAGCAGGGCCAGCCTCCGAACAGCAGCCACGACGCAGCAAGCGGATCGCCGATCGCCAACAGCAACAGCAACCTCCAGCTCAACAACCGCCACAGACCAGTACTCAGATGGCGAACACGCCACGTAGCGGATCATTATCCGAGGGTTCGACAGCTAGTAATGCCGAACCCTTACCGGTCTGTCCGGTGCAAGGGTCGAATGAGCCCCTCCCGGACTTCATTCAGAGAATGCAGGACTATACAGTCGCACTCACCCATGTCAAGGAACAGCAAGAGGCTGCCGCAGCCGAAAGACTATGGCTAGCAGAGGAAGCTGCAGCACAAAATCGGCGTTAAGCCGAGGCAGACCAGTTGGCGATCGATCAGCTCAACGCCGACAGCGCTGAACTTGTAAGTGCTAGTCAAGCACAATGGACAACGGTACTCAACGGGATGCGTTATGTCCCCGTACCCGGCAGCGAGTCAACGACAGAGCAACAGGAGAGGCAAAACCTGGCAGATATTCTACTCAATACAATGCGCGCCGTCATTTGGAACAGCACCATGGGGGAGCTGCATTCCCAGGCCACACGGCAGCTGCAGCACGATCTGAGCCACAACGTGAAGACGCTTGCAGCAGCTGTCAAGGTCGCGGACAACCAGCTGAAACAGCTGGATGCACGCATTGCTACCTTGGAGGCAAGGCCTCCCCAAGCAGCGCCAGGCTGCACGACAGATATGATAGACATGACGAAGCAGCTCCATGGGCGCATCGATCATGTCGTCAATCTCATCGGCGACATAGGTGTTTTCAATGGGCCAGACACGATCAGTAGCACGGTGGCCGCCATCAAAACGGACATCTCCAAGCTGCAGACGAGACCGGATGCCGCTACCAAGAATTTCAAGATGCCGCAATTCACCATCAGCAAGTTCGACGACTACAACAAGACCGAAGCTTTGACACGGCTGAAGACATGTTGAAGGCGCTCTACCTACAACTGATTGGCGGAGCGCAGGCATGGATGAATCACCTGGCGGCTACCAAGAAATGCACTATCGCCGAACTCCACACGCACATTACGTCGAAAGAGTTCAAGCAACTATGGATGACCCGATTCATGGTCCGCAACGTCGTGAAGGCGGCCATGAATGAGGTGTACACTTGCTCACAGGGAAATATGCCAACTCGAGACTGGACGATTAAGTGGCAAACGATAGTTACCACGCCAGGCTTCGATTTGAGTTTTACAAACCAACGATCCGAGTTCTTCTCGTGATCATGCGCAGGCTTGCGGTCGGCACTCGACAACAAGTACGACTATACCTCGTTCCAGGCTATTCTGGACCGCGCAAACTTGGTCATCCAAACGGACGACAAGGCCGCCAATGAGAAGCAGTCCCAGCCGCACTATGTGGCTAAGCCGGCCTATCAACGACCAACACATAACAATGCTGTGATTTATGAAGAAACAGTCGATCTCCACGCTGCAGCAGCATCCTCGAGTAATGGAGGAATTGTAGCAGCGCTCCCGCTGAAGCGTCCCAAGAGAGTTCGGAAGAACAAGGCGACACAAGAGACGGCATCGACGGGAACTGGGCAGCAGCCATGGACGACATACAAGATAACCAAGGAAATCTATGACCTTCGTCAAAAGTACGGATATTGCCTTTGGTGCAATGGGGTCACTCATTTGACCGCACAATGCCCCGAAAAGGGCAATGCACGCGTACCCTGTCCAGCTAACTCGGGAAACTGAGTTACGCAAGGAGAGGGGCGACGCCTCTCCTCACTCCGCCGGAACTGGTTGCCTTGCTAGCAATCGATGTCACTACCGGGGAGCATGCGTTAGTCGCTGATTCTCGTGCTACATACGAGGATTATGCCGCCCAGCTGGTACCACCACTAGACCAGTCGAGCCACGTGCACTTAGATTGCGTATGCATAGCGTGTACATTGTCGGCAAGTGATCCGGTCAGTTCGCCACTGATTTCCGAGGACTCGACGGCGTGGTCAAGACTTGAGGAGCTTGACCCGCTCACGAGAGAGGACTTCGCTTGGATGCCTCTACCCTCGACCGGAACCTTGCCAAGGCCGCATTGCAACGCCTTGATGGCAAATCTACGCTCCTATTTGCACACTACAGTACCAGCTCCGTTGACGGACGACGGGGTAGCGGTTGTCGATCTCCGCTCCTATCTTGCGAAGATTGACCGCGAGTACGCCACCCAAAGGTACGCCGAAACCGACGCGCCTTTGCTCTATATCCGCATTCAAATCGGAAAGGCAACCTGTAGTGTCTTGATTGATTGCGGAGCGTCTCGCAACTTTATGAGCCAAGCCTTTATGGCCCGCGCAGGCCTTGGCCCGCGCATTCGAAGGAAGACGCAACCCACGCAAGTTACACTCTCGGACGACCGCACGCAAAAGTCGATTGACCGATGCGTCGGCGACGTTCCAGTCTACTTTGCGCCACTTGCGTGCGAGCCGGTGTCTTTTGACATCCTCGACACCAAGTTCGACATGATTCTAGGCATGTCTTGGTTGCGTAGCGCCGATCATCCGGTGAACTT